AAAATTATACCATTTAAGAGTTGACATGTGTCCATGAAAACTCTTAAAGAAGGATTTATGATCCTTAAAGAAGGATTCTTCACCTTCTCTTTTCAAATTTTTAATATTTTATTATTATTTTTGAGAGAAACCCACATTTAAATCCCCCATTGGGGATGGTCTAAATTTTTGGCTATGGAAATATTTTCGTCCACGGGTTTTGTAAAATATAATTTATATATTGCCCTTTTCGCCCTTTTCGTACATTTTATCAGTCTTAAACCATATTTTACGTGATAGAATGCATAAGATGTGAATATATATATATAAAAAAAAAAGATGTGAATATATATTTGTTAAAAATCTAAAATTCCGCACTCGATCTGATAATAAATAAATAAAAAGATTTCACGTGGACTGGTTTTGGGAACCTTCACGTCTGTTGGTTAAGCTTGAAGATTACTTGAACCGGAAGCAACTAAACCGAGTTATGGTTTAGAGAAGATAAAGTCAAATATATTAGGAGTTATCTAATATATGTGTAATCCTAGAGAGATTAGGATTTGAGAGACTTGTATAAATAGAGAGGTTGAGTCATGACCTAATTTGTGAGAGAGTTTAAGTTTTGAGAGATTTTCTTAAACTAATAAAGGCTATTGAGTTTGTGAGTTAAATACTTTCTTTTGTTAATCGTAAGAGTTTGATCATCAAATATTGTATTTAGCAGCCAGTCGGGTTGAGCGTTGCGATCATGGGAGAGATCACGGAAAGAGCACAAGCGGAGGTGGCCAAGATAAGTGAAGGAGGAGGCTCGTCGACGATAAAGTGCCCCATGCTTAACATGACCAACTACACCGTTTGGGCAATGAGAATGAAACTTCTACTCAGGGTACACAAGGTCTGGGAAGTGATTGAAACACCATCAAACGATGAAGAGAAAAACGTGATGGCCATGGCTTTAATGTTTCAATCTATTCCCGAGACTCTTACCTTGCAGATAGGAGAAAATAACACTGCAAAGAAGGTATGGGATGCGATAAGAACGAGACATGTAGGTGCTGAGAGGGTTAAGGAAGCAAGGTTACAAACGTTGATGGCTGATTTCGATCGTTTGAAGATGAAGGACACGGAGAAAATCGATGACTTCGCCGACAAGTTATCAGAAATCGCTTCGAAATCAGCGGCTTTAGGAGAAGAGATTGAAGGACCTAAACTTGTCAAGAAGTTCCTTAAAAGTCTCCCTAGGAAGAAGTATATTCATATTGTTGCTGCACTTGAACAAGTTTTGGATCTCAAAACCACAAGTTTTGAAGACATCGTAGGCCGATTGAAAACCTATGAAGACCGTGTGTGTGATGAAGAAGAAGATCAAGAGGATCAAAGCAAGCTGATGTATTCAAACACGGAATCTCAATACAACAAAGAATCTAATGGTGAGTATAGAGGCAGAGGTCGTGGAGGACGCTTCTATAGAGGAAGAGGCAGAGGACGTTTTGGCGGAGGAAGAGACACTTCAAGTGTTGTTTGCTACCGGTGTGACAAAACTGGTCACTTTGCAAGCAGTTGTCCGGATCGTCTTCTAAAGCTTCAAGAAGTTCAAGAGCAAGACAACAAGAGCACAACAGAGGCAGATGAACTCATGATACACGAGGTAGTGTATTTAAACGAAGGAAAAATTGTACCAAACAAATACGAAACAAATTCAGGGGGAGAGAATGTATGGTACCTTGACAACGGCGCTAGTAACCATATGACCGGAGATAGGCGATATTTCACAAGCTTAGATTCAACCATCACCGGGAAAGTTAGGTTCGGCGATGACTCCCGGATAGATATTAAGGGGAAAGGATCCATAGAATTCATAGACAGAAACGGTGAGCTAAGAAAGATGGTTGATGTTTACTTCATTCCTGGACTAAAGAGTAACATTATCAGCCTAGGACAGGCCACCGAATCTGGTTGTGATGTGAGATTGAAAGGGGAAAAGCTAACAATGCACGATAGCGAGGGGAAGTTACTTGTCAAGGCAGTAAGATCAAGAAATCGTCTTTATAAAGTGGATATGGGGATCAAAGATACAATGTGTCTCCATTCAAGAACTCAAATAGATTCTGAGAGATGGCATGCAAGGCTAGGGCATGTCAATCTTGAAACAATGAAAACAATGGTAAGGAGAGAACTTGTAACTGGGATTTCACACGTTGAATTTGAGAAGAAAATTTGCGGCTCATGTTTGCTTGGAAAGCAAACAAGACAAGTATTTCCACAAGCTACAATGTACCGAGCTACCAAAGCACTTGAGTTGATCCACGGAGATCTCTGCGGACCGATTACACCAAACACTGCGGCTGGAAATAAATTTGTTTTCGTGCTCATTGATGACTATTCTAGATATATGTGGACTGTGTTGCTGAAAGAGAAGAGTGAGACTTTTGGAAAATTCAAGAAATTCAAGTCCATAGTTGAACAAGAAACAGGGGAAAAGGTTCAAACCTTTAGGACTGACAGAGGAGGTGAGTTTGTGTCCAAAGAGTTTAATGATTTTTGTCTAGAATCAGGAATAAGAAGGCATCTTACAGCTCCATACACTCCCCAACAAAACGGAGTTGTTGAAAGACGCAACAGGACTCTTATGGAAATGACTCGAAGCATTTTAAAGCACATGAAAGTTCCAAACTGGCTTTGGGGAGAAGCAGTGAGGCACTCAACATATCTCTTAAACCGTATAGCTACAAGGTCACTTAAGGACAAAACTCCATATGAGATGTTACGAGGAAAAGTTCCAAATGTTAATCACCTTAGAGTCTTCGGGTGCATTGGATATGCTAAAACAGAGATGCCACACTTGAAGAAGTTAGACGACAGGTCTCGTGTTTTAGTTCACCTAGGCACGGAGCCTGGTTCAAAGGCATATCGCTTGTATGACCCGAGAAATAGAAGGGCGGTGGTAAGTCGTGATGTTGTTTTTGATGAAACAACAGGCTGGAACTGGAATAAAGTTACTACAGAGAATGATGCTGTCGGAAATCTCAGAATTGAGTTTGGAGTTTTTGGAAATCATGGTATCTTCGAAACAGAGCACAGTGAAGAAACAGAGCAACGAGGAGAAGTTGGAGATAATGTCGTCACCGGAACAGAGGAAATCGTGTCTGCGGGTGAAGAGAACAATGGAGAATCATCGGAGGAAGATGAAAACATTGATACTAATGAGCAAACAGCTCAAACTGCTACGGGAAGAGTGGTGACTAAATCGGGGAGAGTAGTCACAAGACCTAAGTATCTCCAAGACTATGTACTGCTAAGTGAAGAAGAAGGAGAACGATTGTTAATATGTTTGAATGAGGAACCATGGAGCTTTTCTGATGCAAAGGAGTCGAAAGAGTGGATGGATGCGTGTAAAGATGAGATTCACTCAATAGAAAAGAATCACACTTGGGATCTTGTGACACCACCACAAGAAGCAAAACCGATAGGCTTAAAGTGGGTCTTCAAGCTCAAAAGGAATTCTGATGGTAGCATAAGCAAACACAAGGCCAGGCTCGTTGCA